TTTTTTTTTTTTTTTTTTTTTTTTTTATGGCTGCATTGGGTCTTTGTTGCTGCACGCGGGCTTTCTTTTCAGTTGCAGAGAGCAGGGGCTACTCTTCGTTGCGGTGCGCAGGCCTCTTGTTAAGGTGGCTTCTCTTGTTGCCGAGCATGGGCTCTAGAGCACAGACTCAGTAGTTGCAGCGCATGGGCTCAGTTCCTCCATGGCATGTGGAATCTTCCTGGACCAGGGCTCGAACCCGTGTCCCCTGCATTGGCAGGAGGATTCTTAACCACTGTGCCACCAGGGAAGCCCCCGGGAGCACTTTTTTAAATGTAGTTTTTCCTTATTCTGTCAGCAGTGGGAGTGTGCCCAACTATGTATAATAGCATTTTATATCAACTTTACCATGTGTTAATATGAAAGAAGTGATTAGAGTGCCTGCAAAATAAACATTGGCCCAATGAAAGATCCAGTTCTAAGAGTTTCAAACACACTACAGTTTTAAATTTATGTATAATAGACTTCATGTGATTTTCACAATTTTAGACCTTAAAGATATTTGGAAATGTATAATTATCATAAAGCAATCTGATATTTATCAAGTACCTTCTAAATGTTAGGAGTATTCATACTTGTATAAAAGACTCTCTGACCTCTAAGAGTATATTAGGTAAGATGAAGTTGCATTTAAGAGACCAAAACCTCAAAATAACTGAGATATAAACACAATAGAAACTTATTTCTCCTAAGTAAAATAAGCCTGGAAAGGATTAGTTTAGGGCTGTTCAGTGTGGCACAGAGGCAATGACCTAGAGTTCTTCTGCAATGCTTAGCATTCCACGTCCTTAGCATGTGGCTTCCATACCATATACTGAGATGGCTAGGCCATTGCCAGCCCCCCACCCCACCCTGGTCCCCAATACAACTGACAGAGTGAAGAAAGAATGAAAGGATGATAAACTTCTTCTTAAGGAGAAATTACACTGACATCTGACTAGACAGACTTAATTCACATAGATGCATAGGAAATTTAGGACACAGAGTCCTTATTCTTCATGACCATGTGCCTAGCTAAATTTTAAAGATTCCGATTCTAAGCAAGAAAGAGAGAAAAGATATTTGGGGGAAAATAGAACTCTCAGCTATAAAGACAAAACACAGAAAAAGTAAA